TACTACTACTACTACTGCTACTACTACTACTACTACTACTACTACTACTACTACGACTAGTACTACTACTAGTACTACACACTACTACTACTACTACTACTACTACTACTACTACTACTACTACTACTACTACTACTACTACTACTACTACTACTACTACTCTTAATATTACTCCTGGTTACCAGGCCCAGGTACCATCAACATGATCGACCCACTAACCTGGAAACTGATTTGAGCTGCGAGGCGTACGAAGGCTTCCAAGCACCTCAGTTGGGCGATGGGCAGTGGCAATGCTGAAGATATCGGTGGTGATACAACTGTGCCAGGAGCTGCGTTGTGTTTTTCTGCGCTGTGCCGCGCCGCACAGTGACATGCAAAGGGACGCACCACAGAACGTGCCAGTGGACGTGCCAGTGGATGCGCCGCGCGATGCGCCAGGGGTACGCGCAACGGAACGTGCCAGGGGGCCACGCCACAAAAGGTGCCAGCGGACGTGCCAGGGGACGTGCCAGGGGATGTGCCCCGCGACATGCCCAGGGGAGGCGCCAGGAAACCCGAGGGTCACGATCCCTCGTAAATTAAAACGCGCCCGCGTTAGGTGCGCAAAATCAAAGCCATAATTTAGTCATGTTTGTGTGCGTGTGTGTGTGCGTGTGGTTTTTGTGTCTTTTGCGTTTGTATGTTCCGTCTGGTATTCGTTGTGTGTTTTATGTGTTTTTTGGTGTGCTGTGTTGTGTTGTTGTGTTTTTTACGTGGAGAGGATCTGCCGAGATCGATCGCCCGATGGGGGGTTCGACTGCCGCCCCGGCGCGGATCGCCCCCGCCATAGTTCCCTCAAAAAGGCAAGCTTAGGCGGAGCTTTTCCCGTAGGCGCCCCCGCTCGCCTGGGAGGGTGCGGGGGGTCCGGGATCGCACGGGGGGTTCCAGGACGGGCCGGCTCGCACGGGAGAGCGTCGGACTGAGCGGTGGAGTCGCCCGGGGGGTGTTCCCGCACGAGTCGCCGGGTGAGGTCTCGCGAGGGAACAGCCCTCGGGAATCGCCCAGGTGGGTCCCACGGGGGCGAGGTAGCCCGTGGAGCGCCTCAGAGGACAACGCACGGCGAGAACGAGAAGGATTCATGCGAATCTGTCGCGGGACTCTCGCGAATTTTTCGTGGGGGGCCCAGGCTCTCGCGAATTTTTCGCGGGAGGCGCAACGGTCTGGACAGTCGCGCAGGGGGGGGCGAAGAAGAGAGGAGGGGAGGTCCGATACCAAAGCCTCGATGGCCACCTCTGGGGCCAAGCGAATGACGGACAATTGGAGCAGGGAGCGGCTAAGGATAGAGGAGGGGGGCGAAAAATAAGAGCCTGAGGGGAGCGCGAGCGGCGCACCGAGGAGCAGAAGCGGAGAGAAAGGGAGTTCTCCGGTTGATCATACCAAGAAAAGGGCGAGGTTGATGACTAACTTTAGGCTCTGACTTTGCACACGCAACCCGCGCTCCCAAGGCTCAGAACCATCGAAAATCCGCCGACCCCTTGGGGATCATCGGCGTGTGAGATTCTTCCCCCTCTCCAAACCCCTCCCCCGGGAGCCTGGTCCGGTCGATTTGGAGGGGGGGGGGCCCGGCCGGCCGGTCCGGGCCTCCCCGGCGCGGGCCGGGGGGGGTCATCCGTTCCAGAAAGTCTGCTGGGGGGCCCAATTCGAGCCAAGAGGCTCCCAAGAAGCTTTGAAGACGGTCCAAGAGGGCCCCGAGTCGCCGAAAAATCGTTCGAAGACGGTGAAGATTGCCTTCAGACGGCCCAAGATGCCGCCAAGACGCCCGAAGAGGCTTCCAAGAGGCCTCCCAAGAGGGCCCCAAGAGGCCAAAATCATTGCTTTTGATTGGTTTTGTTTCGAAGTGTTTGGCCTTCTCGCTTTTCTCGGCTTCCGACGCTCCAGGACGGCGCAAGAGTCCCCCAAGAACGCCCCAGGACGACCCAAGAGGCCCCCAAGTGAGCCGCAAGACGGCCCAAGAGGGCCTCAAGACGGCCCAAGAGGGCCTCAAGACAGCTCAAGAGGGCCCCAAGAGGCCCCCAAGAAAGGCTCCAGACAGGGACCACGAAACTAAAATTCTAGCTTTCTGCCCCAAAAGGCGCACAGGAGGCCCCAAGGGGCCCCCAAGAGGCCCCCAGAGGCGCCCAAGAGGCCCCCTAGAAGTCCAAAAGAGGCCCCAAGAGGCCCCAAAACAGCTCCCCAGAAGCATCCAAACTCCCCCCCGCAGGCCCCCGGCAGGATTCGCACGACGGCGACTGCCCCAACGACAGCAACAACAACAGAACAGCAACCCCGAACAACACCAGTACCGCAATCACAACCACCAACACCAACACAAGCAGCACCACGCCCAGCCGCACCCCAATTGCTGCAAGAGGCCCTCCAGACGCACCAAAAGGCCGTAAAACCACCCCAAGACACAACCAAGACACATTGGCGAAGAAAGTCCAAAAAACGCCACCGAAAGAGTCTACGAGACGATCTGAGAGAGTCCGAATACAGCCCGCCCGCCCCCGAAAAGGCCCCCAAGGGGTCGGCGGTGTGGCGTAAGCCTAAGAATCACACTGGAGCTGCACTCCCAGAGCGATGCCCCAGACTCGCTTTGGCCCGCGGTCCTGAAGTTGTTGCAGAATCGAGCCGGCCGGCAACTCGCAATACGTGCCCGACCTCATCGGGGCGGGGCAGGCAACGAGGCCGTGACCAACGTGCGGTTCAGGGACCCAACAAGCGCCCTGGCACGACAGCGCCAGCAGGCGCCCTGGCACCGGGGGCAGCTGAGCCTCCCTGGGCCGGCAAGCCCGTGGAAGCCGGCGCAGCAACAGCCATCGCTCTGTCGCCCTGCCCTGACCCTGGGCGTTGGACGCGGGCCCTGCAGCATGTAGGGAAGCGAACTCTATACACCGACGCTTTTCCCGACCCTGCGCTGAAATTCGCACAGGAACGCGGATTCTGGTGTATACGGGATCCTGGTGTATACATGTTTCGTTGTTTCCTCGGAAAACGGGGGAAAAGTATACACTACACCACCCCGACGTCGTCCCTGACCCTCAAAAAGTCGTGGGATTGAAAGACAGCCCGCCACTGGTAATGTATATGTTCCCGTTTCCGAGAATGGGCAGCCCCCTCGAGTGAGCCAGGAGGCTCCGCGGCAGCCCTGACAGCACGCAGCACCCTTTCAGTGTTGCCGCCACTTGGAATCTCGTCCGCGGCAGCGCAAAGCTGGCCGCCGTGAGGAGGCATTCCCGAAATCAGCTCTTGGCCGACTGTGGACAAGAAGCAGTGCGTCCAATGGCAATCAACGCCTTTCGGGAAGAACTGAAGTATTGGAAGAACTGTTGGGACACTGCGGACGTGTTCGCAGCGCCTGACATGGGAAATCTGACGCGTCGACATACTCAGGGAAGAGCCTGGCGTTCAACAAAGAGGTTGAGATCTGATCCTCTCCCAGTGGGCACCACTCAGTCCAATGCGGCTGGAACAGTCCTGGCTTCGCCTCGGCGTCCTGGCTTACCTCTTGGCAGTCCTCACTGACGGCTGAGCCGCCAGCGGGTTGCCCGTAAAAGAGGGCGGCAAGGTGACTCGTCTTCACGATGTAGGACGCACGCGCGTCATCTGCCCCCGCCAACCCTCCCTCGACGTTTCTATTCAAAGAGTGGGTCTGCAGGCTGCAGGAAATTGAAGATGTCCGCTGGGGGATGCTTCAAGGAACGAAAGAGGCTAGCTCGTTCGAGGATCGCCTTCTTATCCTCCTCATCCTCCTCCTCCTCCTCCTCCTCTTCATCCTCCTCCTCCTCCTCCTCCTCCTCCTCCTCCTCCTCCTCCTCCTCCTCCGTGAGGGGTGTGCCGAAATAGGTGCGGTGAAGGCATGCGAACGCAGCCACTGGAGCCTTCGCTGGAGTTCCCGATGACGCCGCGAAACGTGAAGGGTGTGCCGAAATTGGCGCGGCGGGCGCGTGCGAACGCAGCCACTGGAGCCTTCGGTGCAGCTCCCTGTGTGGCCACATAACGCATGAGATGTATGCCGAAATGGGTGCGCTGGGCGCCTGCAGCCTCAGGGGCGTTCGGTGGAGCACCCTGCGACGCCACGAAACGTGTGAGGAGTGTTTTCGACATGGGTGCGGTGGGCGCATGCGAACGCAACCACTGGGGCCTGCGGTGAGGCTCCCTGTGAGGCCACGAAACGTGTAGGGGATGTGCCGACATGGGTGCGGTGGGCGCATGCGAGTGCAGCCACTTGGGCATTCGGTGGAGCTCCCGATGGGCCACGAAGCGTGTGAGAGTTGTGCGGACATGGGTGCGGTAGGCACCTGCGAACGCAGCCACTGGGGCCTGCGTTGGAGCTCCCTATGGGGCCACGAAACGTATGAGGAAGTGCTGAAATGGGTGCGGTGGGCGCATGCGAACGCAGCCACTGGGGCCTTCGGTGGAGCTCCCTATGGAGCCCACAAGCGTGTGAGAGGTGTGCTGACAGGGTGCGTTGGGCGCATGCGAACGCAGCCTCTGGGGCCTTCGGCGGAGCTCCCGATGGGGCAACGAAACTTGCGAGGGGTGTGCCGATATATGTGCGTTGGGCGCATGCGAACGCAATCACTAGGGCTTTCGGGGGGGCTTCGGTGGGGCTCCTCATGGGGCCACGACACGTGTGAGGGTGTGCCGGAAGTGTTGAATGGTGCGGGGGGCAGAGGCAGGGATGGGAGGAGGGAGGATGCGAAGATTGAGTGGACGCGGGTGGTGAGATTGCGGTGATGATGAGTCTGCTGATGCCGATGGCGAGGATCTGATGATGGGGGGGCGAGGGGAGGGGGCAGCGGGAGGGAAGGAGCTTGGGGTGCTCTCTGCAGGACGAGGAGCCCACACCACAAGACGGCGGGGAATTGCAGGAGCTTCACGGGCGGGGGGCGGTCCGCCTTCAAACTGCGGCTCTCTCCTCAGCGCCGCGCACAGTCGTTCCAAACGTGTGCATGTGGCACCGCGCACACTCGTCTGAAGAGCTTGCGGCCATTTCAGGGAGTCCCACGGCTATTGTCACAAAAATAGCGTTTGGGCACGACGTCGGAGTGTCAGGGCGCAGCAGTCACGTTTACTCGCGGTGTTGAAATCCCAGGAACGGTGTTCTGGCACGATTTAGGGTCGTCAAGACGCGGCGTTGAACTCCAAACACTTGCCTTCACCAGGGCACATCCCTCAGCGAAAATGAGTCATCGCAGGGACTATGAATGGGGAACTTGAAGGAGGATTTATTTCAATATAGTTGATGGATCGTCGGTTTACACTGGTCCTCCTCCTCATCTTCTTTCCGAAGACTCCTCCCTCATCCCTCCCTCCCTCCCTCCTCCCACGTGCTGCTGCTGCTGCTCCTCCTCCTACTGTTTCTCACCATGCTCCTGGTCCTAGCCATCCTTCTGTCTCCATCTCACCCGATGTCCGCTGCAAACGCCAACAACAGAGGGGCGTAAAAGCGTGTTCCTTCTTGTCCCAAATCTGCAACGGCTTGCTGCCGATGGAATACAGAACGGACAAGAAGCCAGACTGATACGTGTTCTTGAACATGGCTCCCCAGACCTTGTGAAACGAAGCGTAGTCCAAGAAGCTACATTCTCACCATGAGGCAGAGGAGATGGAAGAACTGGACGCAGAAGGGGGGGGGTGCAGAGGACGAACCGAAGGATTAAACAAACGGAACGATTGCGTGGCATGTCCAACAAAGACAAATGTGTGAGCCAGTTCGCACATCCGGCCCATACATTACATTTGTTTAGGGTCTGGCTGCTTCGAAGTAGGGCACAGGCATGGATCCCCATGAACAGCCAAACCCTGTGCACTACACTATAAGCTGATTGTAAAATCAGAAGCGGAGGGTGTGCGGTTCATCCCTCGCCCTTTCCACCTCTGCTGCGCCCCTCCCCGTCATTGTCCTCCTCCTCCTCCTCATGCACTCTCCTGGTCCTGATCCTGATCCTGTATTCTTCTCACGTCTGGGGATGATGAAAACTGCCAGCTTCCAAGTAATGGGATTGGATTCCATGATGCCGGCAGGCTTTCGCCAAGCACCAGGAGGAAGAGGATAGGGAGGACAAGCGTTATGCCGCAACTGAATAGAAAATGCACAGCCACCTGTCCCGTTCCAACAGACAGGTTGAAAAGCGGAGCATGGGATCAAATGTGCACTGCCTTAAGAGTGTGTGCTCTGGCAACGGCACCGGACAAGAGAGGCGCTCCCAGGACGGGAAGAGGAAAGACCGCCTCACCAAACAGGACAACAGTGGCAAAACTCAAAAGCTGTGCAGCCGACCTGCCTGCCGCACGCTGGTCACCATAGGGGGGACAACAGCGAACAACAATGCAGCATCACAAAACATCACCACCTGATCTCTGGGCCCCATCCTTCTGCTGCATTTTTCGAGCCGGATACCCGAAAGCGGGCGAAACTCCCTGGTGCGAAAATAATACAACGCCCAGATCGCAAGGTCCTGTGGATCCCCTGACATCCCATGTCTTCATTTGAATTCGGGGTCCCAAAAAAACCCGACCCCTTCCCCAGGGCTGGTATTTCATCCCGCTCCGGGCTGTGTTGGGGGGAGGGGGCGGGGCCTGGCGAAAGCCACCGAAAACCGAAAACTGCCGAAACCTCCCGTCGTGACTCTTTCACAGCCCACTCCACGCCAGGACCCGCAGGCTTCAATAGGGGACCGACTACAGAATTGAAATACGCCAAAATTGATTTCTCCGCGAATCTACGAAAACGACGTGCAATGTTCGTGGATATCCGAATCCCAGCCGCGGCGACGAGGGTGCCCGATCGGGAGGTCCAAGGAGGGCGAGGCGGTCGAGGGTAGGAGGCGGGGCTGACGTGAAGGGCGGCCGCCAGCAGGACGGTCCGGGGATGGCCCGCGCAGCGCCCACGGCCAGGGCAAACGCCCGGCGGGGGCAAATGCCCGGCCACTCGAGCCCAGCCCAGGGGCGCGCGCGCGCGTGCTCCAAGATAGGTAAGGTGAAGCCGTCCTCCCCCCCCCCGTCTCCAAGGGGGGTGGAGGGAGCGAGAGAAGGGGGAAGCAAAGGGGGGGGTAGGAGGCGGCTGGGAGGTCTGCCGTGGATGGGGAAAAGGGGCACATTCGGCAATCATTGCCCATCTGGAGAAGGCGGCCCAGAAGGGACAGGGAACGAAATCTGCGTAAGAATGCCTTTTTCCCCACTTTCACGGATGGAATCAGCAATGCGCAATGCCGCCCCAGCCCCTAAGCCGGCTCCACAAGAGGGGGGGGGGGGCGGCGTCCGCGCCACTTCCCCCAAACCCTCCACACCCGTCGCCGCCGCCCCACCCCCTTCCGATACACAATTTTTGCCCGTGCCTATGCTGCTCTCCTGCCCCACTCCCCCCTTCCACTATCACCCATCCCCTTTTCCCCCCTCAGCTCGAGGCGGTCGAAACGTCCACTTTCTTAGACTTGTTTGCACTTCCTTCTCCAACATACACATACATTTGCCACACCAGTTTCGATCGTTATTTTTGGGTGTTCGTGTCTCTCGCCACCCTCGCGAAGATGCCGGCGGCAAAACATCATATGGGTGCTCCTTGTAAATACGCGGCCGAACAGGCCAGGACGGGGAGCAAGCAGCCCACCGCAAGAGCCACAGCCTATGGCACAGGATCCTGGAGCACGAGCAGCACGACGACAAGTTCAGGAATACATGGAGGCAGCGGGCCAGCCCCTGACCGCCAAAGGGTTCGAGACGATCTCGAAGAACCACCTGGATTCAAATAGTACGCACAAACTATCGAAACACTTGTCGTCGGCGGCGAGGCAGAGGCAGTCCGCTCCAGCGTGTGGCTAATCGGTGCAACCGGCATGCGAATTGTCCGGCGTGCAAAAAGAAAGAAAAAGACGAGGGCGGCCGCGCGGGAGGAGACGAGGTGGAGCGCGGAGTCCGCGTCAAGCAAGCCCGAGCGGCCAGCCGAGGCAGCGGGGACCGCGGCAGCAATCGGGGCCGAGGCCAAGGCGCACCCACGGGCGATGCCAGGGCGCAATGGCGACGGCGAGCAAGTTATGCACCAGCCCACGAGTCCGAGGACTGCCATCAGCAAAATGCTGGGTCCACCAGGTGCACCGACTGTGTGGTGTCACGGCCCTACCGCGGCGCCCGCGACAAGCGCTGGAACGACACCGGGCGGGTGGGGCTGAGCTGCACGCTGGGGGCGAGGTAGCGCGGCGGCGCCATGGCGGCACGCGGGGAGGGAGGGAAGAGGGCAAGAGGGGAGGAGAAGGGAGGGGAGGGGAGAGGAACGCCCCGCCCACGGGTGGCACCCGACGTGCGGGGCGGCAGCAGCCCGCGGCCCAACGGAGACGGCGGCCCGGCGGAGCGCGTGGAGCGCCTTCCGATGCGGCGACCAGGTGATGGCTGCATTGAAGGGGTGGCAAAACTGCGACACAACGGCCAGTGCGGGTGCCCGGACACGGGCCCGCGCATCACGGCGACGCGGCGCCAGGGGCAGGGGGAGCCCAGCTTGCGCGCGAGGTGCGGTGGCCCGCCACGCGGGGCTGCGGGGCGCGCCAGGGAGGAGGCGGCAGAGCCGCCGAGGCGGAAGGGGAGAGGGGAAGGCGCACGTGCCTGAGCGGCGCAGCGACTTGTGAAAGCAGGGCTGCGCGCCGCCCGGGCACACAGCGCGCAGCCAGGAAAATGAGAGCGAAACTGAGCGGCGCGACGACTTGCGAAAGCAGGGCCGCGCGATACCCGGGCGGACAGGACGCAGCCAGATGAGGAGAGAAGAGAACGCAACTGAGCGGCGCAACGAAGGGCGCAAGCAGGGCTGCGCGCCGCCAGGGCAGACAGCGCGCAGCCAGAGGTTGGGCGGAGGGGAGGCCCACATGGTATGAAATGTGGGTGCCAGGGAGGGCGCCGAACAAGCGTGGTGGCGCATCCATGGGGTCGGCCGCTGCTGTCGGGTGACCGGAGGATCCCGTTGCGGCGCTGTCCAAGCTGACCTGGCCCCCGTGCCCGAGGAGGGCCAGCGCCTGGCCGGGGGGGGCCGTCGCCGCTATAGGCCGCGTACTCTGGCTCGGTCACTTCCAGGCCAGGTACGCTCGGCGTGGCGCTTGCCTTTCCCCCACCAGCCGCTGCCTTTCCCCTCGCCTTGCCTGTCGCCGTCGCGACCTTGGGCCATGGGGTCCCTGTGGCGGCGCTGCGCTGCCAGACTCTTCCCCAGTCCACGTGAATGTCGCGCTCCCAGCGGGGGGCGGCGGATGTCCTGGCGCCACCAAGCCAGGTCATTGAAGAAAGCCTTTCAGAACTCGTCCTGGCCGTTTGGGTTGCACGCGCTCCTTCCCTTGCCCTTTCCATCGCGCTCGTCGCAGGCGCTGTTCCACCCTGCGACAAAAGACGCCGCATTCCCGCTTCAGTCGGTTGGCCACCTCAGGCCACGTTCCCCAAGCGTTGGCTACGCAGATCCGCGCCCTCTCCTACTTGATGGCCTAGCGGGGCCGCGCGTGCAGGCAGTCGTTCGGGTCGCCCCGGCCCTCCTTGCGCTCTCCGCACGGGCTGCGCGCTCTGCGCCGGCTGCGGAGGAGGAGGCACCTGTCGCCCCGCAGTCCGCCCAGGCAATGCTGCTGAGGGTGGGTCTGGCGTCAGGGGCGTGCCCAGGGTGTGCCCGTGCGTACGTCCGAGGAGCCTTCCGCGCCCGCCCGTCAAAAGTGGCGGACGCCGCCGCGTCTGGTCCGCTGGGGGAGCCGCCGCCTGGCGGTAATCTTGGCGCCGGCCCTGGTGCTTGCACGGCGGCCGGGGCTAGGCCCCCCCCAGCCTGCGCGCGCCCGCTGAGGGCGCGGGCGGCGCCCTTGCCTTCCCAGCTGTCCTTTAGGATGACCCATGCCAGGAGTGAGTGGTCCGTACTGTCCCAGGCCGTAGTCCAAGCGTTCTCTATCCTGGCGCTGAGGAATCGCCCGCTGTCGCCAGAGCCCCCTGGTTCAGGGGGCACGATGCTGTCGACTGGTCCGTCGAGGGCACCATGCGTAACGTCTGGGCCCAGTGGCTCCCCTGGCCCGTCGGGTAGGGGGAACCAGGCCAGGGGCTTGCTGCCGAGATCGCCGCGGGCCATGAGACAGTCGCCCTCCTGGAGCTCGGGCGTCCGCCCAGAGTGCGCCGCGCCCAACGCACCTGGATGGGGCGTGCGGACGCGAGTCCTGCTCGTGACGGATTCGTTGCGGCCTGGCCCGGGGGCGCAGCTGAAGCCGCTGTGTCGCGGTCGGGGGCTGTCTTCCGGATGGAGACTCGGCGAGTAGTCGGGGGGCAACGGGGCGGCAAGAGACGTGCCCGTGCTGACGGCTGCGTCTGCGTCTGCGCTGACGGCTGGCTGCGGCGTTGGTGCCGGCCGCCTGCAGTGGCTTGATCGGCTGCTGCTGCTGCCCCCAGTGGCCCTGCCCACCCCATGTGGAATGGGGGTGCGGGCGCCCTTCTGAGCGTCGGCGTCCGTCCGCCTCCCGTCGGGGGCCGGCGGGCCGGCCGCCAGGGCTGGCTGCCCCCTCTCAGACACTGCTGTCACTGGGGTCCCAGGTGGGGCCGCCACTGTCCCACTGGAGTGGGCGAGGAAGGGCGCATCCAAAGGCAGCCGACAATAGGAAGCACGGTAAGTTCTGACCCTCACCAACAGCAAAGCCAACACTACCGACTTCGATTCTGACCGCTCCTTTTTCGGCCAGCCAGGCGAGGGAAAAGTTACCGCGACCAGGCATGGGAATACCCACGCACCTGGGCAAAGCAAAAATACCTACGTCCCGACTGTTTCACCACCTCCGGCTCCGCGAACTTCGACAAGTTGAATTCTCACGACCTGGAACAACGAAGTCAATTACATATGGCACTTGAGACGTAAGAGGGCCTACTGAAATCGAAACAGTTGAACTCATAGAACATATGGCAAGCTGTAGTATTGACGTGCGTTGCATCCAGGAGACCAGGAAACCGAAAGCAGAAGTGCATGTTGAAAATGAATACCTACTTATCATATCAAGAGCCGACTGCGATGGTAAAACGTGGGCTGCAATTGATTTTATCATTGCACCACGACTGCGAAGGTATGTCAAATCATACAAGCAGGTTTCCGTCAGGATTTGTGTCTAAAGTTGCGCGTGCAAGCTCAAACGATTGGCATGCTGGGGTGTATACTGGTATGCAACTCACAATCTACGACCAGCGAAAGAGCGCATCGATTTCTGCAACACGCATGATAAAACATACCGGGCCTGCTATGCGAAACACGGCAAATTGGTATTCCGGTGACCTGAATGCATGAATGGGCCGAGCACGTCCTGGTGGAGATAAAATAATATGACTGCATGGTTGAGGGCGGGAGGTCGCGCGCGAAGTGGAAAGACCAAACAGAGATTGACTCTTGGAGTCTTGCTTTGGGACATGATTGATATTTGCAAACACGTATAATACAATTAGATCTGAAAACAGAAGTGGCTTTCAGAGAAGCTGGGATCATGGCTCAAGCTCCAATCGACATACTTACGCATAACATCTTAGATCTCTTTTTGCGCATGACGGACGCGCTAGATTCTACCAAGTCGCTTCGGAGTTGGCGTGGTGCAGCATTGGCAAATGACAATTTCCTTGCCACCTGCACTATGACGCTGGAGATGCCCCCCCCCCACACGAGACAGCACCACGCTAAGACGGATACGGCCGCATTGGATGACGAGGGGACCCGCGAAACTTTCACGGACATACGTTTGAAGAACGTCGAGCCAGAATCAAATGACGTGCACGACATGTGGGGTAAGGCTAAACACGCCATACGCTACCGCACCAGGAAAGTACTACGCGATAGCCTTGGATATTGAAGAAAACATTGTATCTGAAAAGAGCGAGGCAAGATTACGGGCGGCGGAGGAAAAGAGATTGTTGAACGAAGTGCGGAAGTCAACATCATATATAAAACGAATGTGTCCACGGAAGG